CAAAGGTGCTCTATTAGATTGACATGTGGTGACTGTGGAGGCCATTTGAGTACAGTGAATTCAGTGTCATGTTCAAGGGACCAGTTTGAGAAGATTTGAGCTTTTGTGACAAGGTGTGTTATCCTGCTGGAAGCAGCCATCTGAAGATGGGTACATTCTGGTCATAAAGGGATGAACGTGGTGGGCAACAACACTCAGGTGGGCTGTGTTGTTTAAATGATGCTCAGTTGCCTCAAGTTGTGCCAAGAAAACCGCATTATTACACCAGCAGCAGAAGCCTGAACTGTGTCTGATCCTACCATCCACGTATTGTAGCAGAAATAGGGATATTTTCTCTCTTTTGGACCATTCTCTTTAAACCCTAGAGATAGTAGTGCAGAAAAATCCCAGTAGATCAGCAGTTTATGAAGTACTCAGACCACTCCATCTGGCAGCTACCCTACCTTCAAAGTAACTTAAATCACCTTCCTCCTCCATCCTGATGCTCAGGCTGATCTTCAGCAGGTCGACTTGACCATGACTACATGCCTAAATGCACAGAGTGGCTGCCATCTGACTGTAGCAGCTGACAAAGTGGCTGATGAGTGTTTAAAGATGAATGCAGCCTCCAGGTCTGAAAAGGGAAACTAGGGCTGAAGTGTCTTAAACCTGCCCTCTGTCTGATGGCCTGCAGGGGGTGAACCCTGTAGTTGCAAGTAGAAGTTAGAGTGTACTTTGAGGAAGTACAGTCTAACTTATGATTTAATGCTTAGGTGAAATCTTTCCTGATGACTTTATTGTCTCAGTCACTAGTTTCAAGCTCAAAACACCTGGTTTAATAAAAACAATGTAGTTTCCAAACTCCAGCTTTAGTTCAGGCACACCACAAAAGTGAGCTCAGCTCTAATTCCAGATCAGATAACTTCTGCCAGTCTACATCAGATGATTGCTCTGCTGATTCATTTCTTCACAATCATTTGGCGTCTGCAAGCCACTTAACAACCCATGCCCACCCCTTTTATGTTATGTCTGGCTTAATCAGTGTCACATTGATATCTGCTCTGTTCTGTCTGGGGGTCTTGCTGCTGCTCTCTGCTCCACCACTTGCTTGCTTTCGAAGTATGTGAGTGGAAGCGCAGGACAGTCCCAGAAGAGATGATGACTGAAATAACAATCTTCTTTTAATGATAAAAAAAATGTGATGAGTTACAGTTCGGCACAAATTGGTTGCATGAAAGAAAGGTTAAATGTATAAAGGGCTGTTTTGTTGTTTGTGCTCATCCACAGAGAGCACTTCTCCTTGAAGTGCTTTTTATCAGAAAAAGAAAGGCGCTGAATAATTTAGAGGGGAATACATCACACTGTAGAGAACTGTTACAATCGTCAAGCATTTTGTGAATTGAATATATTTACAGTTATTATCTTGTTTGAATCAGGTTTTTCTTTCCTTTTGTGTTAGCTGTATGCGTGTATCCCAGTTTCCTTGGTAACGCGCATCAACCCTCTTCCTCTAAATTATTCAGTTAAAAAATATCTCTTAAGGCCTTGATAAAGAACAGTTCAAACAGGTTTTGTGAAAAAGGCGGCTGCATTTTGGGGCTCATTGTCAGAGAAGTCTTTTTAATTCTAGCTTGTGTTTTCCATAACACGGGTGTATGTTACAAAGGGCTTGTGTTTAGAGAATACTTGACAAGAAAGGATTATTCCCACACTGCTGACTGTTTCTGGTTTATTTCCCCCTGCTGCCATGGATTATATAGTTTTAGGTCACATAAACAGTAAGTTTACCCTGCCATACTGTAGCTAGTATTAGTGAAGTCTTCTGCTCTTTCCTTTTCATCTCCTGGCTTTCAATTAAGCTTAGCACTAGCTTTACTTACAGCCATATGTGTTGGATCTGAATACCATGTGTCATCAGTCATGACTCCATAATACTGGTATTTACACTTCTAGCACTTCTAGGACTAGGCATGTGCTTTTCCATCCACACCACATGTCACTGCTTTATCATCAAGGCCATCAGGGACTAAATGAAGAGCTTTTATTGTGATTCATTGCATTAGCACACTGTCATCTTAATAGATACATTTGTTTTCTTTGTTTTTGGACATGTAATTGTCATAGTAGTGCAGTGGTTCCCAACCAAGCAGCAATGAAGCTAAGTTGAAAGTGCCAAAACTGCAGTTCCTCAGTTAGCCATTTGAAGGTTGCTACAGAAATGAGTTAAACCCATACATTTCCATTCTACAGTGCCCAATGTTTGATCATTAACCCTCTGAGGTCTAATTTGTAAGTGGTGAAAACCAAAACCCTAACCCGAAATCCCAACCCGAGGCAACTAAAATATGCAATAATGTTTTAAATACTTTGTTTGCAATCAGGAAGAGACCTAAATCATTCTTAATAAGGGGTCTTGGGAGCCGCAAGGAGTAAAACTATTGTGGGCCCTACATGAACTAGCCTACATGGGTCCCACGTGGGTTTTTTTGGGCAAGCCAACTATGGGTTTGCTAATAAAACCCATAGAAGGTCCCCAAAGGGAAAACCTGCTGTGGGCTCTGTGTGGGCACACCCGCTTATGACCAGTGTGGGATAAGTTTGTGTTTGCCCACAACCCCCACAGTTCACCCACACACCTTCCCACTGTGGGCACATCTACTGGGTTAGACCGCAGAGGGTTAAAGACCATGTTTGGAGCCTTGTACACAAAAATGGTTTGGGCCTCTACTGATAGCCTCAATCTTTATATTAACAGTTACAGCAGTCACACCCCTGATCAGTGTCTGCTTGGCATCCACTAAATAAAGTCATTGAACTGGACCATGTTGTAACATGTTTAAGGTGTTGGTGCCTTTTGCAGCATTTTAATCCCATTATTTGACAAATGTTATGACCTCCTGTGAGGTACAGACCAGCCAATTTTGCTGAGTAGAATTCTAGTATTATATGATTTGATATTATGAATATGTTACATGCACTAATTAGCAAGTATCTGTGACTGTGTATTACATCCATTCAGCTTATGGATGCTAAGTAAACTTGCTAGAATTAGCCTGTAACTGACTGATAGCACTTGTTGAAATATGGTCATTTTTGTCTTCCAAAATACAACAAGATGGCACTTTTCCATGCCAGACCTCTTAAAACCTCAAAAGCAGACTATATTGAAGATGTGTTGAGCTAAGTCAAAAGCATATTCCTCAGGAAATTGGCATTCACAAATCTAAAATGTTGGGAACCACTGTCCTAGTATCATGATGAGTATGACACATTTCTTAATAGCTTTCTTGAAGCCTGTGTTGTTTCTTTAATTTTCATGCTTGCCTGTCTGTTTGTTGCCCAGTTGAGCAGCTGCCCACCATCACAGCTCAGTCGCCCAGCACTCTCATCGCCTTTCCCTTTGACGAAAGCTTCCCCGTGATTTGTGAAGCCAAAGGGAATCCCGAGCCAGAGTGAGTACTTCAAAGGACGGGAGCTTGTTATTAGCAGTCAAACAGACACTAAATACCAAACAACACTTTAGCATCAACATGTTGCACTTCGATGCTTTGATTTGTAACTTTCGGTACTGAGTGTTCTACGGTCTCAGCTTTAAGACTTGACATTTTAACACTGGCTTTCTTTATGTAGATTCAGATGGACAAAGAATGACCAGGAATTCGACCCCTTTCAAGACCCCCGCCTGATGAAAGAAGAGAATTCTGGGACCTTTGTGATACCCAATAATGGGAACCTTACAGAGTACCAGGGAACCTATCGCTGTTACGCCTCAAACAAACTAGGCATCGCCATATCGAAGGAGATTGAGTTCATTGTGCCCAGTGAGTAACCTGCATCTTTGAGTGTGCATGCAGATGTGTGTGTGTGAGGTGCTCTGTTACAGAGCTTTCAAAGTGATTCAGGGCCAGCAGCTCCCTGTAATGACTTGCACCTCTCTGTTGTGAGCTTTTCATTGTATTGGACGTGCAGAAAGTCATTGAGGTTCCCGAGCGCTCCACCCCTCGCAGCGTCTCATCTGTAGGTCTGCACCAGAAAAAGCATCGGGTGTGATCTAGCTCTCCATCATTTCCTTTGCCTCATTTTTCATTTTGTTCCCAAGAACACTACATAAATTCTCCAAGAAAATCCACTCCACAGGGGACTTTGACTAAATTTGGCTGGGCTTCAACCGCTCAGCATGGTGACGGGCCATGAACAATAGCGGTAAGGGATGTCTGTTTTGTTTCTGAGGGCCAGAACTGAAGATAATAAATAAATAAATAAATAAATAAACAGAGCACACTAGGATTCAATCTATTGAATGATTCGCAGCACAGGTAAAACTGACACGTGCTACACGTAGAATTCAAGAATGATATTACTGCCACCTTCTGTTGAAAAGAAAAACTGCACCACACTATTTATTATTTTTTTCAACTCTAGTTTATCTTGTTTTCAGATGTTCCTAAATTCCCTAAAGAGACACTCGATCCTGTCGTGGTAGAAGAAGGCCAGCCATTTACTTTAAAATGTGACCCACCTAACGGTATACCTCCACTGCAGATCTACTGGATGACTATTAGTAAGTAATATCTCATGTCGTGATGAGTGCACAGTTTGGTGTTGACTTTCTTTTTTTTCTTTCTTTTGTGTCCCGTTTGGATCTTTAGCCATCAGAATTGTTGTCTTAAGGCCAGAAAGATGCCAAGCGGATTTATTTTACCAAGTGGATCATCATGGCCTTGCCATATTGGTCCTTTATGATTGACCTTTATTATAATTATGAATTTATTTTGTTTTCAGTTGTGTTGACTTTCTAACTTGGTTAATTAAAAATAGTTTAGACGGTAAATTTCATAAGATATATTAGGCTTATAAAAATGTGTTTTGAATCACATGCTAATCAGAAGGAAAGTCACTGCAGACTCTCTTTTCAAAGCCACAGAACTTCTTTATATTCACGTTCCCACATACATGAAATATATCAGGTAAATGTTTGTTATGTTTAGCTTACTGAAGAGTTGGAAGAAGCCAGTAGTAAAATTATGGTATGGAGTGTTTTTGAACAGTTTAAAAGATTTTTTTTCCATGTATAAAGACACTTCACAGCCGTGGTGGCAGAAGTGTTATAGAAGTGTTATCCATTATATCAGTGCAGAAATGACTGCTTCAGCTGGTGGGTTATTAGAGTGATGAGCTTTCTCTGCTTCGTAGGCAGTTTGGAAGTTTATACCAGAGATAAATAAGGTACAGAAGACCAAAATAAAGACTATTCTTCTAGGTCTTTGTAAAACAGTGAAACATTCATTCTCGTTGTGCCACAGTTATTTAAAAATGAGAGGGGAATTCATTATTGTGTGCAGCTGTGTTTATGAAACATATAACAAGTGATCCAAATTAGATGATGGTAGTTGATTTTTACTATTCCCAAGCCATAAAATTTCAATCAATGTCAATCTGTAAACAGATATTTTTTTGTGAAGGTCTTAGTAACTGTCTCAGTGAAGTATTAGGAAAATTACTTCATTATGTTCCAATGTCGTTTAGCTGGGTTAAGCTGAAGTACATGGATTTAAATCAGCAGTTGTTCAATTAAAGATTGTTTACATCTACATGGAATCATTGCCACCGTCTTCCTGTGCTCAGATCTCCAGCACATTGAGCAGGATCAGAGGGTGTCCGTGGGCCTGAACGGAGACCTTTACTTCTCCCACGCAGTGGAGAAGGACAGCGGGAGAGACTACTGCTGCTTCGCCTCCTTCCCCAGAATACGAACGATCGTTCAGAAGACCGCCATGTCTGTCATTGTCAAGACAAGTAGGTGTCTCGTTGTTTTCTTTGTCTCCACTCGATTATTGTTTGCCTCTCAAACCAGCGTGACGTGTACTTTGATTTGGAGCACTGTTCATTTACCAGCACATTCGCCGATACCGTTGTTGAAAGGAAACACTTCAAAAGCCATCCAGTGTCACACTGTTTTGTTTGTGCGCGTCTTTTTGTTTCTATGATTTTATGATGTGACTCAGATGTTGGTGATGTGCATCATCCACATTTTTCACATGTTCATTGTGTGTGTGTGTTTTTTTTTTCTTGTTTGTTTGTGTGTTTGTTTTTTTGGTCTCATCCGTCATGATTTTAGGAAAAAGTGACAGTTCTGAAAATGGTAAGTTATATTAGTGTATTTCTACATGTGTATGAACTGCTTTATGCACTAGAAAGATGTGTGAATACGCTGTTCTGTCTTACTGTGTATTCTGTTCTTTTCAGCTAATGCAATTCTGGAGAGAAAACCCTCTCTTCTGACGCCCCCTGGTGGCAAATCAGAGATACAGCTGGTCAAAGGAGAGGACCTGAACCTGGAGTGTATTGCTGAAGGATTGTGAGTAATAATTTACCTTAATGTTTTAGAGTTACTATATTAGCAGTTATATTGCTATGTTAGAGTAGCATGGTGTGTGGATGTGTTTGCATGGATTCTCTTCAGGTATTCTGGCTTCCTCGCACAGTCCAAAGACACTTAATTAGTTTGGTTGGTTGTAGGTGTGAATGGTTGTCTGTGTTTTCCCTGTGACAGACAGGTGACCAGTCCAGGGTCTAGCTATCTTTCTTGCCCTATGACTGCTGGGATAAGCTCTAGCCCTTCCAGGACCTTTAATTTTAGCCATGTAAAGGCAGTATGTCACTATTTTTAGGCTCACCATTTGTTCCCATTTTCTGTCAGTCCAACTCCACAGGTTGAATGGATGAAAATGGGCCACAAATTTCCTAGTAAAGTGAGATTTGAGAATCATGGAAAATTGGTGATTGTGCCAAGAGCTGAGCTGGAAGACAGTGGGAAGTACACGTGCAAGGCAAAGAATCCACTGGGAGAAGTTCAACATACCTTCACCGTGACAGTCGAAGGTAAAAACAGTGTACAGTGCAACACACTGCAATGTTGTCACATCTGGTTTGTCTACATTGATTTCATTATTTCTGTTTGACAAATTCGTCTAATCATTGATAAAAAGGGGTTTAAAGACCAGCTGCTGTGACGATACATTGTGTTAAAATCCTCACAAGTAAAAGTTCTGCTTTAAGAAAAAGTATGATTCTTCTGTTATTGTATATCAAATTATCACCTAACTCTAATGCTTTAATCTGTAAGTAAGATTCTATGATTAGTGGAAATGGAGCTAGTTTTTATTTAGTTAATATACTCTGTTCCCATTTTACGGATTGTGGATCTGCCAAATGGTTATCAGGTACAGGAAAGATTAAGAAAAGGCTCTGATGGCTGATACAGTTTTATTCTTATTTTCCTCAAATAAGCCTCAAATGGAAAAAAAAAAGCTTTAAATATCATTGAAAGATGAAGATCTGATTGCATAAACATGCATTTTCACTGTCAGCTTCCTTTGTTTTGATTGCTATGTTAAACATGGTTGTGTGTGTGAAAGACGGTGTTAAGAATAATTCCAAGTAATGCATAATAGTATAATCTCTATATCATGGTGGCAGGTGGTGAGGCTGAAGGCAGCGGAAGAGCCTTTTGTGGGTCCATTTCTGTGTGTAATCGGTAGTAAATGTAGCATTCATTTTTACTGAATAATACATATTGCGTAACTATTCCTGTGATTGTGTTCTCCTCTGTAAGTGCTCAGTGTCTTCTTTATACTGATAACATCACGCTGACTGTGTGTTCTCAGAGCCTCCAGAGTGGGTGTTTGAGCCTGAGAGTCAGCTCAGTATGATCGGCTCAGACGTGCACATCAAGTGCTCTGCCAGTGGGATTCCTCAGCCGACGACTACATGGAGGGTGAACGGTGGACCTCTGCAGGGTCAGTCCCACAGCAGTCTCACTTAAAGCTCACTTCACTTCTTTGTACTGCGAGCTCCTTGTGATTGCTAGACATGTTGAACCCCACAGAAAGGCTAAAGGTTGATGCTGTTTTGTTCAGTGTTACAACGTAGAACATGAGGAGGAAGTATCCAGAAGTGGGAAAGTACTCCAAGGATGATGAATGTGAACTTAATTGTGTAGTATCTGTTGAGACACAACCATAGAATCTAAGAAAAGGCAAACAGAGACAAGTAAAACACTGACGTGAATGCTATTAATTAAGTTTGTACATTAAAGGTAATGTGCACTGCATGTTTGAGAATATGAGGGATATAAGACCTTCTATGGCTTCAAAAACCAAAATATGAAGTCACTTAAATCCCTGACAGCTGGGGAAAGTTTATTATAACAAATCTAGTTAGAGGCTTAGGGCTACGTTAGCTGCAGTGTTAACTGTTAGTGTGAAGCCTCTAGGCTATGTTCAAATTGTGCACAGGTACTTTAAACATTGCAATACAACCCCCCTAAAAACCATCCAAAAAAGCAAACAACCAATAAAACCAATTGTAGTACCCAGTTAGTTCACTGGGATTTAGTGTAAAAGGCCCCTGGTGGGGGCGTCAAGGTACTGCATGGACGCGTAGCAAAGTATTTTTCAATGAAATTATAAAATAATTTAAGTTTGTCATTTAAAATTGAAAATAGAGAGAACATATATTTATGATTAAATATTTATATATACTACAAGGATGATGAATGTGATCTGTTGAGATCTGTTTTGATTAAAGATTAATTAGCTTAAGAAGAGGAGTGAAAGAAGCCATCTATGTCCACTGTGAGCGACCATCTTTGAACAGAGGCGGGGGTTTACGACACCAACTCTCTGCCATCTATAATCCAGTTTTGAGATCCCTTCCCAGACGCCTTAACGCCCACTCACATCCTGGGCCATCTGACCTCAGGAATTCGCATGATAAGGTGGGGCCAGGTTTCACAATGAACACACCCGAAACTCTGGCTGATTGGGACCCACACCCAGTTTCACACCTTGGCTCAGGCGATTAGAGGATCATCAGGGGGTCCTTTTGTCCCCCTGTGGGGGGTTTACTCCCACTAGGTTTATATCTGGGACTCTCCACCATTTGACCTTAGAACTGAAGAAGCTTCTCGGATGAGAGGTGAAACGTCTTCAAGCAACTTAAAGAAGTCCAGACGCTTTTCTTTCCAAGCTCCTTTGACTACGATGACCTGGATGACTGAGAACCTTCACAGACATATAGCTTAAGAACCCAAAAAATTCCTGTTTTTTCTCACTTTTTCTGTAACGCACTAAAGATACCACACCTCAACTCCAACATCTGAGTTTGTATGATTGCATGTGCCCGATTTCCAGGGTAAAACTGGTTGAAACAGAAGTTTACGTTGGTTTGCTGCTCCATCTTTTGGTACAGATTGGTAGTACACCAAAGTGTGGCCAGGTCCTAGGTCAACTTCAGCCGACATCACTTTAACACAACAAACACACAGATGTTTTAGACTTAAAATCAAAGTGATTGTTGCTTCACATTCTTTTGATGTTAGTTAATTTGGGAATTTCAGCTTAGCATATAGATTTTTTTTAATTGTGCTGGTTTAAAACTTTGTGTTCACTGAGTGTACCTTTGTATTATTCCAGAGTCCCCAGCACGAAACAGGAGGGTAATTGGTGACACCATAGTTATACATAATGCCCAAGTTTCTGACAGTGCTGTCTATCAGTGTGAGGCCTCCAATAGACACGGAACCATTCTGTCCAATGCAAACATCATGATCATGAGTAAGTATATCAGCGAGCCACAGTTTTATTAAATTCTGCTTCACCATCCGAGGTCTATGAAAATGCCATCCATACAAAGTATTTGTGTCGCAGCGTACATGAATAAGGTTCAGACTTCCTTGTGAGACACAGAGAGATCGCTGACTGATGTGTCAAGCTCGAGAGCTGCCGCTGATGCTGGCATATGCCCATAAAACAGTGAGGAGCCCAGGGAAGGAGAGCTGTCTGCAAGCTGTATTCCTTCATTCAGGATGGCCGTTCTCCCTGTGGAGCAACAAGCCCTGTTCCCTACCATTTATATGCTAACAAGTCCCTTCTCAATTCCATACCAATTCGAGTGCCACAAGACAAACATGTGCTGCTTTACAAGAGCAGATTAAAAAAAAAAATCTGTTGTGCAGCTCAAATGTGGGGAGTTGCTTCTTGGTGACACAGGAGTTAATAAAGCTGGACAGTCTCTGAATGCTGAGTCCCAGTTGCTGCCTTTGTAAACAATTAGTAGAGACAGAGCGTTTTAATGGGAGGCTTTGGCTACAACTGATAAGGTGCACACACTCAGCGAACTCATTATTCCATTGTTTTCAGCTTTGATTTCTTTCTCACATTTGCTCATTTCTGACAACCTGTCAGCTGAATCGTTTTTTTTATTTTTTCCTTTTTAAAAACACAACAAGCTCATAGTTAATGCACAAGTAAAGCAACACTGTTGTCACCTCATTTAACCTGCAGTTATCTGCCTATTTCCATTCCTGTTTTATCAGCTTTTAAAACCTAATCTAGCTGTGTGGGGTTTTTTTTTTGGTTTTTTTTGTCGAAGCCATTTCCTCCACGGTGAAAAAAATATATTGTGCTTTTCTAACAGCACTGTTACGATGTTATGATGAGCGTCTCCTGCTGGTTTTTGCAGATTTGCAGCCCATGATTTTAACAAGTGAGGGGGAGGAATACTCTGTTGTGGAGAGGAAGGGAGTGACGATGCACTGCAAGGTCTTCAGCTCTCCTCCTTCTACAATCACTTGGTAAGTGTAGCTTTTTTTACCAGCAGAGGGCAGTAGATCTCAGCTGGTCGATGCGTGCACTCCCTCAGTATACTGGCTGTTTCATTACCCACGACCTGCTATTTCTTCAAATCAAGCTGAAGTAGCCCTGTCACTCAGCTCTGATGTCCTGCTTTTATCGCTTCACTGCTGCCATAGTGTAGTAGTGTAGACCACCTGTATTTGCATTTATTTTTCTCCCCTCTGACAACTTTTGCATGTTCTCCAGGAGCAAAGACGACTCCCCTGAATCTGTTCATGGACCCAGGTTTACTGTTCATGAAAACGGGTCACTGAAGATCTACAATGTGGAGAGGGGTGACACAGGACAGTACACGTGTTTGGCCAAAAACACAGAGGGATCATCTGCTATCAATGCCATGCTTTATGTAAAAGGTAAACAGTTTTAGTCATTTAAAAGAATTGTGTTAAGCCTCACACGGGCCTCAAAATGTAAGTAACTTGGTCCTTCCTTTGGAAGATCCCACTCGAATAGTAGTGGCCCCGGAGGACCAGCGGATCCTAATAGGTACCACGGCCCAGCTCTCATGCCTGGCGGAGTACGACAAGTCTTTCAGCAATGACTTTGAGCTCCTGTGGGAAAAAGATGATATGGAGATAGCCCTCAACTACACTGAGAATTCAAGGTAGAATTTTTATTTATTTATTTGGTGAAACAGCACTGCAGACCTAATCCCAGCTGAAAAGCCCTTTTCCTTTTGTAAATCAATACCCCGTCTCCATGTTTCTACCGACAGATACTTTGTGGAGAACGGTGTTTTTCACATCATGAATGTGAGCCACAGCGACCAGGGTGTGTACACATGTGTGGCAAAAACTCCAGCGGACCAAGACGTGGCCTCAGCCCTCCTCATGGTGTTAGGTGAGCTTACGTGTGAGCGCTGCTTCGGGGGTCAAAAGTTCAGAGCACCCTGGTGCTACATTAATGCGCAGCAAATTCGAGAAGGCCACAAAATGTCAGGAAGCCAAGCGCAGAGCATGAAGGTGCAGACCGTGGCTTTATTAGCACAGCTTCTTTGAAGATGTTGTCGACATGTTAAAGTCTAAAGAAAACAGTGACGGGCAGCACAGCGATGCAGCTGGTTCCACATCCTCTGACTCCTGGGAACGATTGAACGTTTGCTCCCCGGGTCTTTTTCTTGCTGCAGAGATCTTGTGTCCCTGTGATTTTCTTTTTCTAAAAGCCGTGCCGTTACAATGATTTTCAGATGTCCCCGATGCGCCGGAGAACTTGGTACTGTCTGACCGCAAGGGCAGAAATGTGACGCTGAAATGGGTCCCCGGGGACGACCACAACAGCTCAACCACAGGTAAAAAGGAGCATCCATGTGTGCAGGTGTCAGGACATACAGCGCAGAGAGGATCAGTGCATCTCGTAGCGAATGCCATTAATATGACAGACACATTCCTGAGCAGCATCCTGCATGTAAATAGATTTGTTTGATACCATCTTGTACAATATGAATCCATTATTGGTTCATCCAAGCATGAATCATGATTAGTCTCCCTGAGGAATGTACAAGCCCAGAGCAGGGTTTGAGGCGTTTTCTGCACAGCTGGTGGTTAGATAAGTAATCCTTTGGCAGGATTCATAGCGGTGAGGGAGACCTCTGATTGTCTCTATGCCTGTCAACAGAGTTTATTATCGAGTACGAGGAGAGCCACTGGGAACCAAGCAACTGGAAGGAGCTACTCCGAGTACCTGGGAACCGCAACTCTGCTGAGCTCAAGCTCAACGGCAATGTCGACTATTGCTTCCGAGTGTCCGCCGTGAACGCTGTGGGAACCGGGCGTCCTAGCGAGGCCACAGAGAGATACAAAACTCCTCCAGAAGGTCTGAGTTTCCTCCTTTCATCGCTCAGTATTTACCAGTAGTACCTTTTGTTAGGGTCTTCCAGCCCACTTGATACGCTGCTGCTCTGTGAACTTTAAAACACTCAGACCTGCTACATAATTGATTCCATTCTTGTTGAAACTCTGCTTTCTCGCGTGCCTCGTTCACTGGAGATTTCTTCCACTAGCAATGCTGACAAAATCTATACTCCTTTTCCTCCACAGCCCCTGACAGGAACCCTGAAAATATCAGAATCGAAGGTCATTTGCCACATGAAATGGATATCAAATGGGAGGTAAGAAATAGACTTTGGTCTTTTTTATTATCTTCTTTCTGCAAGTTCTGCGACGTGGCCTACCTTTACGTAGCACATTATTCCTATCGTTATAGTTTTGAGCAGTCAAAGAATTTCTGAGAACAGAGATAAAGTTTTATCAATGTTTCATAGGCTATTACCAATAGGAATTAAAGAAACAGAAATGGCCCATTTATGATATTTCACTCTAGAGATCTTTAAAGAAGCCCTTTTCTGGAATGTCCATGAATGAGTTCCTCATTCAAGGCTGCTCTCTGTCTTTGATTAGAAAGGGAAAGGAAAGCTATGAAGAAAAAAAAAAATTCTTTTTAACACTCACAGTCATATATTGGCTTTTATTGTAGAAAGATGAATCTCTCCTTCACTTATTATCCGGTTGCCCCGTCATGGTAATGTAGCCCCTGAATCCTGGATTCATGAGCTCTCCTACTGTTAATGATTTGCTTTTGTGGATAATGGTATCTCATTCTATTTCTCACGGTCTGACTTCTGTGACGAGATGAATCTTTTCATCTATAAAGTCTCAGCAAGCACTATATCAAAGAAAAGCCTTGCTGCTAGACCAGGTCAATTGTTCCATTGTTTTATTAGATGGTGGGATAAAGCATTGTTCCAAGCAATGTTCACCGGACAAGTCATTTTTTTCCCTTATGGAAGGAGTGACATAGCGTGGTGAAATATAACAAGTATCTTACGCAACTGTGAAAGTCTCAGTGAAACCCACTCCATTCTTTCTTTTCCTGCTACGATACAGCCCCTGTTACCAATTGAGCACAATGGTCCCGGCTTGGAGTACAAGGTGAGTTACAGACGACAAGATGTGGAAGAAGACTGGAAGGAGAACACAGTGAAGAGACACTCATTCGTGGTGAAGAACACCCCAACTTTTGTTCCCTACGAAATAAAGATCCAAGCCAAGAATCGTCAGGGCTTTGGACCTGAGCCCAAGTTAGTGACTGGCTATTCAGGAGAGGACTGTGAGTATAAGTTAATTTTTTTTTTCAGTATTCACAATAAAATGAGAATATGTTATGGGAAAGGGGAGTTTGAAGTTACTTCCTAGCAAATAAATATTACTGCAGCCGTCCTCCTCTCTGCGGAGCAGTTTTTTTTAAAGTTATTGTTTTGGCAAATACAAAACACATGGCATGGCTAAAAATGCCCTTCTAAAAAGAAAAGTTGGGGAAAATAATCTGGCTTTTGCTGCAGTTTGTTCAAAGCTAAACAGAAAAGAAAAAATGAACATGTTTAAATGTTCTAAACCTCAGAACATTTAAACATTTTTTTCATTTTGCTTGTGCCCACATGACCTTTGGCAAAAACTTTCACTTTTTTGGCCTTTGTTAGCTTTATGCTAAACATGGAAAGAATTTTTGCTAGGTTGTCTAGCCACCTAACCAGGCCGAGGGTCAGACCCAGGCTTGCCACTCTCAGCCATGCAGCATGTGAGCGCATGCTGAACGCATTGAGCTAAACTGGCATCTTTAAATGAGTAAAATTGAAAAGTTGTTTTGAGTGCCCTTACTCTTGAAATAAGAGAAAAATAATCTTATTCTCTTTCTGGAATTTCAGCCAAACCATTGTCATATCCTGTAACTGAAAGCTCAAGATGAGCTGAAATATCTTAAGAAAACGTTGGACATATTTTCTTAGAATGAGTTTAATTTTGTGCAGTTGTGCAAAACGTGCTTGTTAAGAATGTTTTCTTTTTAGACAAAAAATAAGAAAACATGTTCATAAACAAGGTTTTTTTATTTTCTTGAAAATCATTTTTGCAGTGTGCTAGAAGAAGAAAGCACCATGTACCGTACTTTTTACTCTTTTTCTTTTGTTTAGCTTTCTTTTGGATTTGTCCTCAGGAGGTCACCTCAGGTCATGACACTTTCTCACTGCTGTGTCCTGAGTAAAATGGGATTTTAGGAAATGTAGCACTTGTTTTGTTTTTTGTTTGTTTTTTCATTTTTTGTGACTCCAAGTAGAGTTCCCTCCTCGTAGGTGTTCCAGTAAATCAGTGATCCCTAAATGTAAGCAACCGAGTAGTACTTTGTATTTTTGTGTTGTTTGGGTTTGTTTTTCCTTCCCTCACTTGCAGCCTATTGTAGATTATAATGTGTGTTTGCCTTTGCAGTTCCCTCTGCTGCACCTGATGATGTAGCTGTGGAGGTGATGAACAGCTCCGTGGTCAAGGTTAGCTGGACACGAGTACACAAGGACAAGTTACATGGACATCTGGGAGGCTACAGGGTAATACCTCAAAACCAGACCTTTGCTTTTAGACACAGTTTAAAAGGAATGGCACTGACCTTGCTCTAAACATTTGCTTCTCTCACCTCACTCTGTCTCCTTTACTGGTGTCCAGCTCAATGTTTTCTTGCTTACAGCACCAGAAAAAAAATCACACTAACTCAGTCAGCATTCCTTCACACATGTACATATGTATGATGTTCAAAGTTTGATATCTTGTAGGCACTGCTGAGGATGTCTCTGTGTGCCTCCTTCCTGATGTAGATAAGTTGGTGGCGTCTGCGCAGTCTGGTGGACTCAAAGAAAAGTCCCGGAGATAAACACACGCTGGCAGTCCCCGGGGATAAGAACCACGCCACGGTACCAATTCTGACGCCCTTCTCCGAGTACAGCCTCATCGTCATGACCTTCAACGGGCGGGGCAACGGCCCAGGCAGTCATCCCGTCAACTTCAAAACCCCAGAGGGAGGTAAGATTGTGGAAAAACAGCATGGAGTGTATTGATTCACAACTACTGAAGGGAAAATCTAATAATAGCCAAGTAAACTGGGTTGCAGAATTTGACTGCTGTGTGTGTGTGTGTGTGTGTGTGTGTGTGTGTGTGTGTGTGTGTGTGTGTGTGTGTGTGCACGCCTTTGCAGTCCCAGAGAAAAATCATGATTTCAGGGTCACAGATGTACAGAGGCACACTGTCTCTTTGGCCTGGGAGCCGCCGTTGGAGCCTAATGGGATTCTCATTGGCTACCTCCTTAAGTACCATCTCAGTACGTATCCCTATTCCTCATCCTTACACTTAATCAACACACATATAATGGTGATGTTTCTGTATTGCTGTGAGAAGATGATGTGTTTTTCATCTTGTGTTTAATAGAGTTTACCCTCAGCTTGTACTCTGTAAAGAAAACAAACAGGCCATCTATTGCTCTGACTGCATATCGGCTTAACTGTTTCAAACCTTATCCTCTACACAATACTGCACTGCAGACAAGTATGTGCAGTACCTGAACAGTTTCTTGGGAAAAGAAGTGGTGATTGTCTAACCCATGATCCTTTACACAGAAAGAAGAATTGCTGCTCTGCTCTAATAAGGCTGGGGTCAGAGTGTGTGTATAGGAACCATGTCAGGGTGGTGTCTACTGGCCTGTGTCATGATCACGGCTCGGCTAGTGCTGAACAAGGCCTCTGAGTCACAGTCTGTTAAGGTCCGGTTTTACTGACCCCATCCTGTCTGCAGGAAACGTCCTCAGCGTAGCTCTGTCCCAGGGGACATCATCCCTGAACACATCCCACGTGTGCACACACTGTGCTGTCCTTAAATAAAAGTCATAACGAAGCTAATGACTAACTTCCAACAACGTCTTAGTGCTGCATTTCCCGGCTAATTGAGTTTGATTTGGCGGCAGCACAAAAAAAGGACCCAGCGTCACGCCGTATTTCAGGAGAGGACGTTTTCATTGTGCCACAGCAATAAAGCTGATGGACTCTTTGAAGTGTGACTTTTTTCTTTTTTTGAAGTCCCCTTGAAGGAAGTCATGTGTGAAACGTTGAGGATAATGCAGCCAGCTGTCAGTGTATCATCAGTGACACAAGTCATCTCAAGCTACGGCGCAGCTGTTTAAGACTATGCTCGTCTTCACAGCAGCCTTTAATAGCTTCACATTTCACCGGTTTCACAAGAGGCCCCGTTGTAACACACTGTTTAACGCAAGCCGGATCGACGCTGGGTTTAAAACACTTAAACTAACCTGCTTTGAAATAACACGTTTTTAGGATAAAGCCTTTCGATGGTGATATCAGCTCGTGACTTTATCTTTAACTAGTGCAGTTCCCCTTTAGAGGGAGAGTAACCCAAATTTACAGATGTCCCTTAAATCTTTCCCTTAAATCATGAACCTGCTGATTTGAAAAGAGGAGAGCCTGAAGGATACACTCACTGAATGTGTCCGTGTGTGTGTACCTGTTCACTACGTGGCCGCAGGTGTCTCTATGTGTGTGCGTGATCCCCTCCCCCCCCCTCACAGATTGGACATCTGCCACTCTAGGGGAAACACTGATAACAATTTTTTGTTAAAATACCCAATCTGAAAACTGCACAGCCAAACAACCTCAAACTCTGCTCTGCACTTTCTTGGATCCACTGCAGTACCACTGGCAAATTTGAAATGGAAAAAATAAACTGTCGGCAGGGGAAAAACATAAGATCTAGTTGTGTGGGACACACACCAGGAGATGTGGAAATCATAAACATTTTCCCTCTACCTGCAGTCAGTAACAAGTTTTTATCAAGTTCTTTTCTGAATCACTTAAAGCTTGTATGAATGTAAAGACTGAGTAAAGTCACCCTCATAACTTGAGTGGGTGGCATATAGTCACATTGCCTTAAAGAGCTGTTAACCCGCTCTAAAGCCCGGGGCATCATATGTCAGTACAGGCTAAACACCCGTCTGACTGTCTCTCAGGGAGCTTGACAAGGCAAAGATAAGATTGTCATAAAAGTACAGATGGGCGCTCATACTCAACCTGTTTTGTCATATTGAAGTCTTTAATCCTGAGTACACAGATCATTTCACTGTTATGCACTGAAAATCCACTCAAGGCTTCATAAAATATCCACTTTATTTCCAATTATATGTGATGCAGATTGAGATAGGCACATATTTTTGAGCACTTAAGACCGTTCCAGTGAAGTTTGTACTGCGTTGAACTGCTATATCGACACGAGTGGGAGTTAAAAATGACCTTGGCTATAAAACTGTCTGTTTTTCTCCCATTTGAGCTAAACTCACACTTGCTGTCAGGTCACATTTCAGTGCTGGAGAGTCTTGGTTTGCTTCACGCTCCTCAAGGCCAACTGTGTTTGGCCCGCTAGGATGAAGAATATTTGGAAATATTGTTATTTGTCATTAGTGGAAGCGCCAAAGTCTGAAGCCTTCAGCCAGTTCACTCCATAAGATCATACGGACCAGCTGTCAGGTCCGAGTTTTGCCGTAAAAGTGAGAAAGTAATGCCACCGCAGGGTGGAAACATGATGCTTGTGGCCTCTTTTTTTGTACCAGAGTTGATTGCATAATATACTAAAATTCGAGTGGTTTTGTCCCTGGAAATAAAACTGAGCAAAAAAACCAAAAAACTAAAGCAAATCAGGATGTCTGATAACAGCGGGTGGCATCCAGGCAAATAAGAGAAGCAGACCAATACATTCTTGTCATTGTTTCTGTTGCCTTCTACCTGAGAGACGTGGCACCTCTTTCACAGCAAAGGTCACCTCAACACCTGCTGTGTTTGTTTTTGTCACAAAGAACATGAATGCCACCTCCCTACCTACTGGGCTGCTTTACGTAGTGAAAAATGAGATCCCATCACAATGTAGGCAGAGAGCACACACCAAAAACTCAAACAAATTGCAACCATAAATTAGTGGAGCACGATTTTCTTTTTTGTTTTGTTTCAGGGTTTTTTTTTTTTTGTTAATGGAGACATTATAGAGAGATTAATCCTGAAAAAGCAAAGAACAAGTTGCCTCTTTTTTTTTTTTAAAGCCCAAACAGGAAATGTACAAACCAAAATGACAAGTGACATTTGCTTTTTCTTTTCTTTTTTTGGCAGAGCTGAAATGTCCTGTGATTGTCAGTTGGAAGTATTTTGAAAGGCCACTAGAGAGTTCCCCAAAAACAAGGCACAGTCAAACATTTCACTGTGTGTCAAAATACTGGAGTCATTCAGTCAAAAGTTAAAAAATAAAATAAAATAGAAGAACAAAAAGGCATTGGGTACAAGGAAGAGCAGAGTATGGGATAAGAGGGTAACGACATTATGATATCAATCATATCAAAATTAAAGAAATCAAAATTCTATATGTATGGATAAACTATCATGACCAGAATTATTTTGGTATAGACATTATATTTTAAGAAAAGCTGGAAAGAATGGTTTTCTAATGTGGAGGCTTAGATGCATGTTCATGTGTGGTCACATCAGTAGATCAGAAAAGTAAAGCAGTTAAACAAATATGTTGTCACTAAGACACAAACTTCTTTGAGTTTCATCAGGCTGTATACAGCGTGCACAAGTACTTCCAGCAGAACTAATTGCTGACACCTTTTGGAGATGGGAAAAAACAATGTGGGAGTGTAGTACTAATATAAAGTATGCTGCCTGTCAGGCAAAAACACCTCTTCAAATGTAAAAACAAACTAGGTAAGGAAGCTGTGTTTTCAAGGGACTGAAATCTGTGAAACAAGTGTTCTTACTATGGTACATGTATCGAATATGAAGACTCTGCATAGTTACATTGTATGATCCTTACTGTGTATGAATTTAAAATGAGTGAGAAAATTCCTCTCGCGACCACAAGCTGTATATTAAAGGTGGATGAACCAGATGCAATGAGCAGCATACAGGAAGAACGTGCTGTGTTTTGGACTATTGGAGAACATGGAGAATTTACGTTTCTGTCACGACTAGTTGCTAGCCTGTACTGACCTTTGTACATCTGTGCTGCATTTCTGAATATAAAGCGTGGATAGCTATGGCAAGTTTTTTACCTTGAACCTGCAATGTACTCCTGGTAATTGGGTCGGATTGAGGTCAGATCACAGTCACGTCATAAACAAACTGCTCTGGACCAACCCGTCCAAAGTGTCTTGATTACTGTGTTCACGTCTGCACAAATGAACCACACCAAGGTGTAAAACGAACCAGAATCCAAGTTAAATGAACTTGAACACCACAGGTGTGAAAATACCCTAAAATAACTACCACAGGAGCGGTTTCTCGTTGAGAATATCCACATGATCATCAGCAGCAAGACACAGCAATGTGAGGCTTCACAACAGGACTTCTCTAGCCAGTGGGTGAAGTCACAGTGGCTAAGTCTGTATGTTATATAGAGGCTATGCTTAATACACTGTAGGTGCAGACAATCCTGATATTTTACAGTGTATGTAATGCAGTGTAAGTATAAGAGTTTTCCCTTGTTGTTCCTTTGCCTTCTGTTAGGTGACTGTGACAAAATACTTACATTTACGTATTTTTTTTCCTTGCCTTACTTCTAGTCAATGACACAGAAGAAGTGGGACCACTGCAGACAGTAGATATTAGCAAACCTGAGACCACCACGTGGATCCTGCGTGACTTGGAGCCTTTGAGTAAATACAAGTTCTACCTGTGCTCCTGTACCACGGTGGGCTGCGGGCCTGACGTCAGCAACGAGTGCACCACCACCCTGGAAACAAGTGAGTGCTTGAAGGTCCAGAAAGCCGAGCCGATCGGGCTTTATGTGTGCGGATAAGCTTGCGTGGGCGTGGGGCTGGTTGAGCGTGGCGCTTTCTCAGTGGGGGAACATTGGGAATGCGGAGGAGCTCTGAGGAGCACAATTTGCTCTGGTGAACCGAGGCTAAGCAAAGCAGGTGACAGAGTCATTTTACCATTTCGATGTGGCATTGAACTAGTGCAATATGATATAAGCCTGAGCAGCCAAGCTTTTCATATCTCCATGTAAGTAATTTTTGTGGATAAACAATTTCATATGGCTGCAGTGGAGGTTTTCATTTGTCACTGTCATGAGAGAGCAAGTGCTTATTGATTGGACAGAGAGCGTGAGCTATGAAACAATCAGCTGAGAAAGAAAATTGCTTTGAGCAGAAAGGAAACTGAAGCTTTTATTACTGAATTGTGCAATCATGAAAGAGTTGCCGGGTAAGTCATCATAATAAGCCAGCTTGTAACATGTAATCTTTGCCTTTTAATTACATATCATTAGTTGAGGTCCACACACCATACTTCATCTGGCTCAAACTCAAGCCAAGCTCCTGTGATTGTGGTCGGTGGTACGAGTGATTGAAGCAGGAAGCTTTTTGCAAGTATCACTAAATGCGCTGTAGTCATAAGAAATAAGCAGGTGGCTCTTTCAATACAAATGGACAAGAAAATGAATGTAGTATGTCACTCAGGCTGTGTTATGTAAAAGCAGAACTCTCAACTTTGAAGTGCAGCACAGGTGCTTAATATGCAAGCGATTACTTATTGTTTACTGTAAGAATCCTCACAATCACAGAAAGACACTTAATTGGCTCTTAGGGGTTGTTTATTTGCATGGTGGGGAAAAAAAACGCCGGAGAGATGATTACAGGAGGAATGGCTCATTTTATATGTATTGAGTTTTGTCAGACTATTACATGTGCGGGGGAGAGGTTCAAGGTCTGCGCATGAAAGCTATTTGTGGTAACACCTCCATCACTGTGTGCATACGTGTGTATGTGAGGGTTTGTCTTAATGGTCCTCTGCTTGCTTTCACATATGCCACTAAAATAGTGCATTGCTTTGAGATGTAGCTTTGATCATGCAGTGTGTATTATAAATGTGCCTGTGAATGTGGACGTCTGCTTAGCCATGCAATGCTTGTCCCTTCTGTCTTTTTTCTTTTTTTCTTTTCTGCAGCTTCCATTTTGGCTCCTGCTGTTGGCCTCAGTATGTAGATCTGTTTATGCAGCAACTGTGGCATGTCATATGTACACATATAGAGAGCGTCAAACTGCTCTGAAATAGTGATAGAATAACTTTCATGTTAGTATGACATGCTCACCATTTTGTTTTTTAGTAGTGCTCGCATGCTTTTAGGTTTAGAAATATGGATGTGTGTAGCTGCTGTAGGGCTGAATAAATCATTGGGACTTGACTGTCAAACATTTGGACACTTTTTATTTGTCCTATGCAGAAGTTAGCAGCCCTAAACACTCAGCCTCTCTGCACATAATTGACCTTGTCTGCTGTTTGCCCTTGCCATCAGCAGAGAGCACTCTGATGCCTCCTTTCATTAGAAAACCGTCAACTTCTTCTTAGATAAAGTTTTGCAGCTTCCTCTCTAATAACAATTGGTAATGAGTAACCTAATTATAAATTCATATTAATCTTGGCTCATTAGCAGCTGTAAACGAATATTGACTTTTCTCCTAGCAACGGCAGGCTCGGTGCAACAAGCTGGGGTAATAAATGATGCCTTAAGAGCCAACCGCAGTAAGAGCATCAGACACGCCACGAGCTCGTCCCTTTTTCTTTCTTTTTTTGGACTGGAGTAAAAATGAAAAGGCACATCTCAGAAGTGTGAAATACAGTTTTGAAACTCTAGATCGTGTTTCAGATTGCATAGTCACTAATTTTAGAGTGTACTTAACAACAGCATGCATGCTAACAGTAGACGATAGCACCTCAAGCCCTTGCCCCAATTGATAACCACAAGGTCTGTCTTTTCTTTTCAGGCAAGTCAGCTTCCCCCTCACCTCCAAGCACTCCAAAGTCCCCTGTGACCAAACCCACTCGTTCCACCATAGGTAGAGCCACAGCACTTTCTGACACAGCAAAGCCTTAACCGTACAGCATCGACAGCAAAGGCTGAGGGATAAATGCAGAGGAGCATTGACTATTATAATGTGATAGCATCTTCAGGAATTTTTTTTCAACTAGTTTGTAATGTAAAATGGTAGCCATATTGTACTGTAAGCTTTCATTTCTCTGCTACACCACCGGGAAATCTAGCATACTAGATCTATATCCCGATCCCACAGTGTGGCAGTGGAGTGCAGTCACTTGAACAGGACAGATATGTCTAATTGTAAGTGATTGATTTGTTGGGCCCCATTCAGCCCTCTGTGTGGCAGTGTATTGACCCAGCAGTCACCTGACATTTCCATGTAATCTTCAACTGGGTAAACAGCAACACACCTCTGGGACAAGAAGAGGTCCGGGGACAGAGAGAAAACAGCAAGGAGAAACATCCTCCTGAGCCATGCAGAGAAGTATGAGCTCATACTGGGAGGGTGATATTTACAGGACACTGAGATAAGTGGAAGCTGTTGAAAGCTCCTGTATCAGAATATTTTCTGGTCTCTCCTTATAAAAAAAAAGATTTCTGACTTTGAAGGGGTATCTTCCAGGGCATTCGTTCCCTGCTGGGTGAGCAGCTGCTTTCTGCAGAAGGTAATAGCAAGCTGAGGAACATGGTGACAAAACACGGCAGCAAGCCTCTGGATATTTTTAACTCAGATTGTCTATGTCAGTCGAAGTCATCACACACTTGCAATGACTAGAATTGCTATAGCTGGTGACTAATCCATCAACATTAGTCAGAGAGTGTCATTTGCAGTTGTTGGGATGGACAGCCCAGACACAGGTGTTCTTGTGAACTGAATTATCACCTGAGCAAATAAAGCACCTGAGCTTGAGGCACAGATGAAGATTTGCATGTTTGCTGTGGTGAAATGAAGTGGATTGTGCTTTGTTGACTAGCTTAGACAGCTGCTGTCAAAGCACACGTTTCCCATACTAATCATGCTCATCAATTACTGTTTTTCCCTCTTTCTCTGTTTGAGGATAAGAAGGATAAAATCACCTTGATAGGTATGTCTGAGGTAGATGAAGCTAGAACACACAAAATATTTTCACGGACCAGCCTTTAAGGTGTCGCGGATAATTACAACAAAATAAAATGATACGACCAAGACAAAAACTGTGATATTTTGTAAATATAATAATAAACGCAAATTCACTGTGTGTAACTTTATTAGCAGCGTCCTCCTGAAATGTGCCAACAACACTGAGAGTTGGCACATTTCAGGAGGAGCATTTCCTCTCTGCGCCTTAATGCTCTCTGGTCACTATGGTAATGCGTAAACATTTCTTTCAAAATAAGACACACAACTACAACGCGGGAAAAGACCCAGACTCGGAAACTGAGTTAATGATAAAAACCCTGAAAATTTCACACCCGAGCCTCAGCTTTCGGCCCGGTACCAAACGACTCACGGACCGGGCGTTGGGGACCACTGCTCTATGTGCACACACTTGGCGACTGTGGAGAGGAAGAACTCCCCTTTAACAGGAAGAGAGCAATAAAAACTGGATTTGTTTAAGCTAATTATTAATCTGAAAACTTTGTGAATTAATTCACTAAATTGAATTAAACACTGAAATATTTTTTTCATTCAACATTAAAGCTGAAAAAGCTTTTCTGCTTGTTGAGTTTCTAATAATTTGCACTTTACCTTGAGTTACCTTGAAAAATGCCCAACATTGTCTGGCTTCAGCTGCTGGGATTACATTTTTTTTGTTTGTTCATTGATGAAATACAGAAAGGCAGTGACACCGGTTTGGCCAAAAACTGTTTTTAACACTTTAAAACTTCCAGGACTGTGAAATAACCATAATAAATCTCAGGGGGAAAAGTGTCTTATTAACATGTTATAGGGCTAACTTGACTTCATTCCCATGTTTCATTCATTTCTGCTTGTGTGAAATGTCCATCATGCAGCAGTCTTTGGTGTTAAATCGCTCTTCAGGTTTTAGTAGATTGCCATTCAGCTTTGCAGGCTCCACCTGTGGTTCCATTTCCCTATCCACATTACTCTTGTCCTGTTGTGAGAGTGACCCAACGTCCCCTTCTGTCAGACATAATTGATGCCTAGTGTTAGGAAGGAGCACGCTTGCCTCTTCCTTAGAAAGCATCCTTTATCCTGTAAACACACACGATTGCTAACACTTTGATCTGCTTTGTCCTCTACTAACCCTTCTCTGCCATTTCTCCATTTCTTTTCCTCATCTCGTCTTATCCCCCCGTCAGTCCCGACCCTGTTTAATGTTAGCTCTGCTGTTAGCGACAGCTCTGCAAATATCAGCTGGAGATCTGGAGGAGAGCATGCTGAGTTTTATATCACATATATGAACAACCGTAAGCTCAATCTCTGTTGGTTTATGAGTAGAGTAGAATGAAACAGTAGGTGACACATCTGCACCTTTGTGTCTTTTCAACCATTTCTACATTAGATAAAGGTGGTTGTGTGTTTTCATGTGTACTGACACACTGTTGATTATTCACTCCTCTGCACAGGTGAGGGTCACTGGAAGATAACAGAGGCCTTAAACACCTCTAAGACTTTCCACATCATTGACGGCCTTGAACCTGAGACTGAGTACACTGTGCGCCTTATTCCTAACAGCCGGGTTTATAATTCTAGTATATTTGAAGATGTTATCACTACAGGTCCAACAGGTGAGGAAGGGGACAAAAAAATGGCTTAAAGTATGAAAAAAGCAGAGCTAATTTACCTCCCTTTTAAAGAAAAAAAGAACAGGTGCAACTCGCGTGTCCTTGAACGGTGACTCAGGCTGCGATGTGTGGTCGTTTACGGTGTCACGAGGATTTAATTTGGCTCACTAAGAAGGAATTACATTTGTACAGCGTTCCTTACTTGATTAATTAGACAAGCAGGATTAGCTGTTTAATATTAATATTGGAGCGTTTCCATCAGCGGCGCGCCCTGCTGCCTGCTGCCTTTGCATCAGATAGGCTCCGTCGATGTAAACATTCAATCAAGTGTCCTGATGAAAAGGCCAAGGCGAGTCAAAGTCACCCAATATTGTTCTCCTCAGGTCTGGCCAGCATTCACGGAGGAATATCTACCAAGGGCTGGTTTATCGGGCTGATGTGCGCCATTGCTCTCCTCACACTCATTGTGTTGATCGCCTGCTTTGTCAACAGAAATAAAGGAGGGAAGTATTCCGGTAGGTCCTCACTTTACAAGCACACACGCTCATCACCTTCCTTGAATACTAATTGCTGCTCAGAGCATCATTATAGTTCCATTTTGTTGTTTGTTGACATGAAAAAAATGATCAATCATCCCAGAAGCCATTACTGGAATATGTATGATGATAGTTTTCCCCTTTTTTTTTTGTT